CTTATTCAAATGCTCTTTCTCGCTTTTTTAGCAAAGAGTAAATGTTTCCTTTTCTACTAAGTGGTAAATCAGTCAATACTATAGTGGTTGAAATCAATTGAAATTCATAAGTGTTACATGAGTTGATTGCATCGAGTTTTCTCTATGATTAAATTAAATTGCTATCTCCGATCGGTTGTGTTGGAACAAAAAACTGACAATGGTCAATATTTAGAACGATAACAATTTTTGAACAAAATTGCCTAAAGATGCCAGATAAGAATGCTCGTATATTCGTTACTTGGGTTCAGTTTTAGATGAGATTTACTTTGTGAATTTGCTATATAAGCGCTCGTGCTCTCTAATATATAACGTGCTAATTTGGTTTTTGTTAGAACGTGCCAGAGCAAATGAGCTGGAGAACTACGGGAATATAAATACGCAAAAGCTACAAATAGCCGATGAAAGCACATTATCACGTTATGTTGCTGCTCGTCTGGACTTAGCAATGTCGCAAAGACTTCTGGATAATCCGTTTAAATTGTCGGTCATCAAACGATGTTGGGAAGATCAACTTCGATTAAAACGTAAACTTAAATGACCTTTCTTTTGGTTTGCAGAGTTTTCCATAATTATAAATGTCATTTTAGAAGATGACTTCGAAACAGATTCGGATCTACTGATAGCTTGTACCATTCTTCAGAAACAAATCGATTGTATTAACGGTAAAAAAGAGAATATTATCGTGCCCAGCGTGAGAATGCAAGAAATACGTGAGCAGGAGCAAGCAGGTATGTTTCGTGAAAGCAAGTATCTTGCATCAATATTTACCATAAAACAATTGTTTAGAAATGCGCACTAGATCATCTGCATCGGTACCCAATTCTACAGTGCAAGAAAATATTGCTAGACCGACTACTTCAAATGTCGAAAGGACACATCCACCGAATACGTGCAATAGTGAATCGAATTCTAGGGTTCCGGCAAAACCAACTCTTGAAGAAACAACAGCAGCGAACAAAGTTCCTAAAACCGCATGCCCAGAGCCAATGCAAACCAGTGCTGCCACTTTGATGAATCCTTGTGCTTTATGCATGAGCGAAGAAAAACGTATTGCATGCATTCCATGTGGACATTTCGCCACATGTGTGCCATGTGGCCACTCACTGCGATCATGTCCAATATGTAGGCGAGAGATAGAAGCATTCGTTCGTGTTTATCTTTAGCATCTTCACTAAAACTATTGTTTTTGTTATTGTTATTATTGATACATAGCCAAGTATAGAAGATCACAGAGGGACACCGTGTGCTGAATGATGTGAACAGTTAATTGTAAAACCATACATACAGAGGAAGAGGGAAAATAAAATCGAAGCTGTGCGTGAGAGCGTGAGTGGGTGTGGGTATGGATATAGATGTGAAGTGGTGTTGATCCAGGTTTCGTTGTGAGTTTCTAACTATTATCCACATCTACACCCACACCCCTGCACTCACTCAGGTTTTAAATACAAGTATATTACGACATAATCATTCGGATCAGACAAACTCATTGACTACTTTCTAAAGCCACGTCGGAGCATGTAGAAAAATTTTCAACACCATCCGATATCAAGACTAAAATGTGAAACATGATGACAGATTACTAGAAAAAATCTTGCAGTTAAGGAAAGATTCTATTAAAACTGTGAATGTCACAATAGTGTCAGATACATTCTGTCAAGTATTGTTGTAATTTGGATATTTTAATGCTACTATTCGTACTGGAACTACGATACAGTATTTTGTGAAGCATATTGTTGCACATATTGTCGAACAATGCGATTGTACTGTTCAGGATCCTCTCGGTAGTAATGGGCTGCCTCAGGATTTGCCGGTTCCTCGATATTTGGGTCAGTTAATAGTGCAGAAATCGAGATTAGAACACTTTCCAATGACAGCGCCTCGGCCCACTGCGATCCTAGTATATCAAGACAAATTTGACCATCAGGATAGATGTTGGGATGAAACATTCTTGTAGTAAACACGACCTTTGGAGGTTTATATGGGTAATCATCTGAAAGGTCCACGTCTAAGGTGAAAATGCCACCTTCATAGGGTGTATCAGGAGGACCATCGATTGATGCATGGTAATGATGAAGGTCACCATCGGTAACAGGACGAATACATACGCCCGGTGTAGGGTTACGCTTCAGAATTGCTAATTCATTCTTCATACGTGTAACTAAAAGCCAAGACATATCTAAACTAAATATTCAAATGAATAGAGCAAGATTTATTTGTCAGGCAGCACGAAATGATCGAAATATATAAATGAATCAACCATTCAAGAAAGGCCAAACAGATGCCTACACAATAATAAGTAAGCGATGGTTTAGGATAAATCGATTACTTTGTATTCTGGTTATACCTCAATCAGATTTTATGTCATAGGTTTGTTTTAACAAAAGATAGCCCATGAAACTCACCGCATAACGATGGTTATAGCTTGATTTGACAGCGTAAATCAAAAAGCTTGCATTAAGAATGAGTTAGTGTAAGGGTCTTCTTTAAGACACTCCCATCTACCCATATCACAATCTCCGAGTGGAACCCTTACTACTTTACATCGAACAGTCACAGCTGCCTTGGTTAGACCATGTGTTGAGAATGTATATGATAGACTACCGAATGAAGTCTTTCAACGGATGATTACAGGGAAGGGAGCAATGCATATTCACGAATTATTCGATGAAATAATATAGAGCATCTCTTTGAAGAGTGTTTGAAACTCCGATGAATTTATATAGTTATTCGTAGCACAATATTAAAGTAGTGGAAGTTGTTATTACATGACTATAATTCATACCCGAAACTTTAGTAGGAAAGAAAATGAATCAAACAATTATTGCGAATGTTACATTCTATTCTTCGCGAGCACAGTTGTCAAATATTCACTATATGATTGTTTGTCATGCACGTCATTATTTAACTGCATTGACGCACTTCAAACATTGTCTTATGTTTTTCTTTCCAGTTTCATATGAAAATAACAACATCGCAGCTATGTCCATGTAACGAACGAAAGAGAAATATTAATTCATTATGGTGAAATCCTTGCAAGCATACGTTATTGGAAGCATAAATACAAAAAAAAGAACGAAACAGTGAAGCATTTTGTTTCTCGTTCTTCAATCCAACATTACACATTTTACGTAAGTACCCCTTACATAAATTATCTTGTTGGAGGAACATTTGATCTTCGTTTCACTACAACTCACTTCGTCACTCCTTCTTTTCTTATAAAGTTCTTTTTTTGTGTAGCTTCTTTTGTGAAAACGATGTGGAGATGGCTGTTGAAGTCTTTAGCAAAACAGATGCATCCTCTTCTTGTCCGCTCCACAGGCCATAGTATGCATTTCAACATGCTAGGTCTTGATAGATCGACAGGATACATAGAGTTCTCTTTTGTTGCTATCCATGAGAGACATTTCAATGCATCGATCAATACAGTCATCTGAAGCAATGATCGATTTGGTTAGTAGTTCCGTTCGCCAGTTAAGTTACTCCATTGTATTACACATTTTAATGTCGCATGAGTTACGCTAACAGAGTTTCTTGAATTCAGTAGAATTTAATAAAACTTGTCACAAGCATCTCATTGATCATGTTCTATCTTCAATTAATGAACATATAGTACACATATGCTTGTGATCATTTTGCAAATAATTCGAGAAACAATAGATCTCATACTTTTTTAGTCTAGAACCACTTGAGTCGAGCACTGATGAACATTACTTGTGAACTATGGTAAAGATTATTTAAACACCATTGCCTTACGGATAGAATTTTCAGAGAACTTGAATCATATGATGTACAGAAAATCTTGAAGGCAGAATACTTTCTCACATGTCTTCTTACCACTTTGTCGGTCTAGGAAAGTTTGATCTATGATGAGTAAATGACTGTTTCGAAACGAAACTGACTCACGATCATATGATCTCCAGTATGCTTTTTCCAAGAGAAAACTACAGGAAGCCAGATAAATGCAATTATTGAAAGTCTGGAAAAGTTGTTCTGCAAGTTGTAAATAATATATTGTTGAAGAGAACAAAATGAATCCTGTTGAAGAAAAAAGTTGTTAACGATGTAGTTTTCCAATAGGGCCAATTTTTCGACAAACTATTCCAGTTGCTTTCATGGTATACTACGGCATCATTCTAAGGATCGCAATTTACTTCCAAAATGAAGTAACGATCTTTTCCTGCATCTCTCCTAATATGATCTTATGTTTGCGAGTTGTGTGAGAGTCATTGACGGTAGGTCAATGAAAGGATGTGAATCTTCTCTTTGGTCTAACCAACAACATATCCTCACCTCCATTCTGACAATGAGCACACATTTCAACGCCTACATCAGCACAACGCCCATAAGTACAAATAATATCGGACTGATTTCTGTTATTCCAGTTTTGAGCTAATCAAACTCTTACATATGAGTGCATGAATGGATTACAAATAAACCTGATATCCATATGAATTTGTTCTAGGAAAATGGCTAGTGGTCATAATTCAATCGAATATCCAAAACCTCATAATGAGACCATCAAGTCGCTTGACTCTTCGCTAGGACCAACGAGTATGATACCTGTCACTACGACTTTCTCGCGCATCCATCGCTTTCTGGATGCACCCAAATTCACTCGGTCTCTAGCTGAAATGACCGAGAAAGGTTCAGCCTACATCAGAGAGTGTATGGAATACATAAAGAAGAAGAATATCTCTCGGAACAATATCGACGAACTTTGTTTATTAGCTGCTGAAGGAATATTTCGTGAGGGTGTCGCTCTTGGCAACGAAGAGCAAGCAATCGATGTCAAGAATCAACTTCGTCGGAACAGTGGACAGAATGTGTACGACCAATGTATCAGACTCTACACTGCTGAAACTTTTGTCTATTCACTTATTAACACTGCTCTACGCGAAAATAATCTTACAAAACTAGACCACATCGGTGCTTTCTGCTTGCTGCTTTACAATGCACTCATGGTAAATCCGAACCATCCTCAAAATGTGACCGTCTACCGACGTGCTGGATTAACTCCTGAAATGATTCAAGAATACAATGCTAATGTTGGTAATCAAGTTAAATGGCTAGGATTTTCGTCAACAAGTCGCAACCGTAACAAATTCACTACTGGCAATACATTGTTCATCATTGATATAAAAAAGCCTTGTTCACTTGATGCTGGTGTTGATATTGCCGATTTATCTGTTTATCCAGAAGAGAGTGAAGTACTGCTACCAGCTGGTGGTCGATTTAAGATTGAGAGGGTTGAATACGACTCGGTCACAAATATTCATGAAATTAATCTCACTATTTTCTAGTATATGAACGAAATACCTGGAAGTTGTGTTTATTGTGAATATTTGGTATTCATCCGGAAGACTATAATTGACAAACAATATGTAGATAGGACAATACTAGTTGGATGTCGTTCATTTATCCAGACTATTCTTTGTTTCTTTTTACTTCAGTGATTACATTTATCATTCAGAATTTGACATAAAGCCACATGCATGACACGATTCGCCATATTAAGCACGTCTAAACCTGAAGGAGCCAATAATTCTACCATTTTGTTCTATCTATTTCTAATACAACATTTTGTTGCATTTTCTGAAGGAAAATGGTGTATCGCACATAAATTTTTGCGCCTATCCAACCAACCATGAAATAGCATCATACTAATCATGGGGTGTGGGTGTGGGTTAAGCTATGAGATACATCCACGGTAACAGCCACATCAACAGTCAGCCACCCACCCCACACCCACACACTAGAACGGGTGGCGGAATTCAGCATCAAGTAGCACCATGTTTTGGTGCTTTGAAATGTGAACATATGATTACAGCAGTTATCCACTCACTTATTTATATCCGTTTTGTCTCTTTTATGCATCAAATATTCACCAATCTGTGACTGTCTACTTATTCGAATCGAATTGGAAAATATTCTCATCTACAACATTGTCGAATGGAACCAACAAGCTTTTGAAGAGTTTCAATCTACTGCAGAACAATTATAATCGATAGAATTCTAGGTTTCAGATTTAAGAATCGCTAAATAATGAATTAAGTATGACAGCAGTTCTTTCTTTTTGTGTAAAAAGTATCATCTGGTTTTATTTTAATAAATGTGGATTGAATCCAAGGGGGAAACAGCTGATTATTTGATTAGATATGATTTTAAGTGATTAGCAGTGATTATTATTGATTAGGAGTGATTAGGAGTGATTAGAAGTGATTAGGAATGATTAGGAGTGATTAGAAATGATTAGGAGTGATTAGGAGTGATTAGGAGTGATTAGAGTGAATAGGAGTGATTAGAGTTTATTAGAAAAATGAATAAAAGTCATATATTATTTCAAGTCCCTATGCTTCTGTACTTGCGTTGTATACACAAAACGAAACTGTTTTAAGCCATTTAGTAGGTTATGTTGCGATTAGATATCATTACCTATCTTAAAGTACACGAGACTTTTGCCTTAACTCTTTTGTATTGTTTTTCAATTAATGGATTTTAAGAAGAAGTAACACGAACTATCAACAAGTACATATATTTCTAATTTCAAGAAAAAGTTTATGCAAAGAAAAGGAAACAATTCATCATTTTTTTGATGTTCGAATAACTCGTGATAATCTATCAATAGATACGCTATTATTATCTCTTGTAAGAAGATAACAAGCCGTGGACTTATGTAAGAACTTATTCATATCATTGATTTTAATCTTGAAATATGATTTCTCTTAAACAGCTGATACACTGTCTTTGATATTTAATCCATCAAAACTTGTTTGAAATGTTTTCAATTGTTTGTCATCCATATTGTCATCATCATCATCATTAGGGGTGTAACTTTAACTTTTAAAGTTAAAGTAAACCACTTTAAAACTTTAACTTAACCAAATAAAGTTAAAGTACATATCGTCCAATGGACGGACTGATACGTCCTCAACTACTATTCTATGGGGATACTCATAAGTACTCAATGGCTATCCGAGTGAGGTACCCATAAGTCCTCAAGGGCTATCCGAGGGGCAGGGATGTGACAATACCAATACCACCAATACCATTTGGTATTGGTATTGGTATATGTGGAGGGGGCTACTGGTCCCTCAGCTCAATCTCAATGTATCGAAAAAACGATCACGGATTCGGATTTCTCGACTCCGAAACCGTTTGATCAAACTTTATAAAAAATCGTTATTTTCTCAAAACAACGCATTCCTGATGAAAAAAGTAAAGTCGCAAATTTTGAGAAGTTAATTACAAATTCTTGATTTTTTCATCAGAAATACGTTGTTTTGAGAAAATACCGATTTTTCATAAAGTTTGATCAAAGGTGTTCAGGGTCGAGGAATCCGAATCCGTGATCGGTTTTTCGATACATTGAAATCGAGCTGAAGGACCAGTAGCTCCCTCCCCATATATCAATACTAATACCGACCAATACCAATACCACCCAACACCAATACCAAATGGTATTGGTATTGTTACATTCCTACCTCTCGGATAACCGTTGAGCACCTATGAGTACCCTCCTCGAATAACCTTTGAGGACCTATGGGTACCCCTTCGGATAGCCCTTGAGGACCTATAAGTACTCCCTCGGATAGGCCTTGAGTATATATGAGTACCCCCTCGAATAGCCCTTGAGGACCTATGAATACTCCCTCGGATAGCCCTTGAGGATCTATGGGTATCCTCCGTCGGATAGCCGTTGAGGATCTATGAATACCACCTTGGATAGCCCTTGAGGACTTATGGGTACCCCCTCGGATACCCATTGAGTACTTATGGGTATCTCTATAGAATCGTAGTTGAGGCCGCATCAGTCCGCCCATTGGACGATATATACTTTAACTTTATTTGGTTAAGTTAAAGTTAAAGTTTAAAGTAACACTTTAACCCCTTGACCGTTAACGACGAGTATACTCGTCACAGCAATCTTTATGGAAAAGATGAAGACTACAATTTCTTAACTTTGTTTTTCTTGTATGCTCTGTACCAGCTCTAACATCCTGCATCTACTGGAGCTCGCTCTACCGCTTCTGATATTTCGTATCAATTATGTTCTCGTCAATGAAAAGTTATTTTGCGAAAAGTTTACTATTTAATTTCAAAAAAACTTAACAGTCAAGGGATTAAATTTTATACTTTTTTAGTGTTTTTAAAGTTAAAGTGTCACCCCTACTTATATGGTATTTTAACCTTTATTTGTAAACTACACTCTTACTACTTTCTTTTTTAGGATACGAATATACGTGGACAAATTTTAACATAGAAGGAAACGAAATATTTTTCTGTTTCGTTCGAAATGCATCATATACTAATCTTTCTCTTGTAGATTAGAAAGCTCGAATTTTTATAAAATAAGTAGTTTTGTAAAAAATGTCCTCGTATTAACAATACATTGGTATACATATTTATACAGAAGAAACTTCTGTTTGATTGTGAATCTCTTTTATAATATTATCCATTATACTTAACTAAAAGTGATTAGATTTGGTCACTGTTTGATTAGCAGCGATTAGTAATGATTAGGAGTGATTAGTAATGATTAGGAGTGATTATTATTGATTAGGAGTGATTATCATTGATTAGGAGTGATTAGGAGTGATTATTATTGATTAGGAGTAATTAGGAGTGATTATTATTGATTAGGAGTGATTAGGAGTGATTAGGATGATTAGCGGATTCCTAATCAGCTGTTTCCCCCTTGATTGAATCGCAAAGAGCACAAAATAAAAAAACAAATTCATCAAAGAATGTCAACAGATTTTGAAGATAACCGTACATTTAGGCGCTTAAACAGCTTTTGAACTAAGGGCATGGTCGATTGTCAATTTTTGTTGCGAGGTTCTTTTTATCCCTTTAGGTGCGATGATGACATCATTCGTAGAAGGGGGAATCAAATATTCGAAATTCGGGTAGTGTTTCTTTCGAATGATCCCATCGTAGACAAATGGGATTTGGAACGCAATTATAAATTGGAAAAAAATGAAAAATTAATGGAATATTATGTGCAACTACAACTTGAAATAGAAAGCATTTTTCGATCAGTAATAATTGCTGATGCAGATATATTTGAAATCAAAACACCCGACATTTGCACAATACTCGATATTATTGTTGATTTACTACTAGAAGTGAATCTTATTCTCAAGAGTAAATTTCATCTGTGACTACACAATTCAGCAATGCAATTTCGGCAAACAGAGCTAGAGAAATAACTCAGTCTTTTTTTTCTGTTTGCAGACATATCCATAGTAATTGGAGAAGCTTCGAAATTGGTGATGGAAAAGAAACTGAAAGATTTATGTCACTTATCCATTTGTTTTCCTCAATTACCGGAAAAATTAGCTCGAAAACGGACAATCATGAAACGCAATCACATCAACAAACTTGGCGAACGAGATCAAATCCGATCGAGTAAAAAGTTTGAGAACATGATAAGATCGATCGTTGGAATGAAAAAATTAACCATTCAACAGACACTGGCAATTCGAGCTACAAAAATATTAGAAGCATGTTGTATAAAACTTCTATGTAACGATATTATCAATCCTTTGAGAGAATAAGATGAAACGGAAATTGTCAAAAAGATATCATTTGAATTTAAAAATATTCATTATGCATATCAAATTTCACCGGATTTGCAAACATCGGACGAAGAACCTGAAAAATTTCAACGTATTAATAAATTTGCAATACCCGATTATTTCTTCGATCGACAAATAAGTCATCGTTTTATAAAATGTATGCAAGATGAATCGGCAGTTGAACATCGTAAACGAGTGAAAAATTACTTGATGGGTTTGAGTGGATCAAAAACTAGTGAATTAATCGGTTGCATTGATCCCTCGGAAATCAAAATTAAATCCATTATTAATACTGTTATTAGAAGTACAAAAAGAAAAGAAAAGATTTTGTACGATATCGTGAAAGAGAATCTAGACATTCCTTGCTGTTGATTGGCTGTTTTATTATTAAATAGGAATCTATTTCTTATCATTATATATTCTAGAAATTTACAGTTAAGAGTATTGAGCGTTCGCTTGAATTAGTGGCATTTTGACGTTTCGTCGCTGGTTTTCATTTCGAACATTCAATGTCGTAGTCCGTTCCGAACATCCGTTTTCTTCAAAAAATCATCACTTTTATGATAACAATATTGGATGTTCGAAATTAGAAAAATACGGATATTCGGAACGATCATCGAAAAATAAACGGATGTTTGTAAACATTTTTAACGGGTGTTCGGAACGGCAACGACACGCACATTTCTGTGTGATGAACTGGATAATTTTAACGAATGTTCGTG